AGCCTGACTCACTGAGCCCCAGGCGCTGCCCCCAGATTCTTTGATTTCTAATTGATTAAAGAAATGAAGCTTTGGACGGCCAAATCTGCAGGTGTGGTTTAAGCGTTCGTTTTTCTTAGGCCTGTCAAGATTTTATATCACAGAATAACTCCAAAAGGGACAGGGTATTATAACTAGGCGTGTCTGACCTTTTCTTCACAGCAGCTCAGCTGTGAGGGTGTTTTTGGTGTTGAGGTGGTCCTCTTGCCCAAGAGGGAGTGCATTCAGTCGGCTGGGAGGCTTAAGATTTTATTTTAGTTCACACTATAAGTCACTAATTAGTATCCCTAATTAATGTGAACAGTTATGATAGTGACTTAGGGTTGATACTTCTGGCAGAAATATGCTGTTTGGGTGGGAGACCCTGTAGAGAAGAGAGACAGGAACCTGAAAGCAACAATGTTGGGAAATTTAACCGTCAGTTGTTGTTCAATCATAGGCAAAGTGACTAAAGTGACAAAAAAAAGGAAATTCAGTCAGTAATTGTATTTAATATTTTACGATGTTATCTGTCCAGGAAATAAACTCTTGTAATTATATTTCTATAAATGATTTTTGATCATGTACTTTATGATGAATACATTAGCATTACTGGGAGAAACCCTATAAATGCATTCCTACTGGCCAGAAAAAGAATTACAAAAAAACATTGTCAAATACCAGAACATTACTAAATACTACTCTGTTTCCCCGAAAATAAGACACTGTCTTATATTTATTTTTTCTCAAGAAGACACACTAGGGCTTATTTTCAGGAGACGTCTTATTTTTATTTATTAAGCATAGTATAACAATCTACATTTATTCAAATACAGTTAAGTCGTTTTCTTCTGGAACCTGACAAGGGGAGCCGACCTTGTTAATGGGGCTGGTACTAGTGATGTGTAAACTCCTTTCCCCTAGCTGTTCACACGTGTGCAATAGGATGCCTACGACCCTGGTTACCACAAGCGCACCCGTGCAAGTGCAAAGGGCTCGGAGAAAGGAGCTGTGGCAGATAAAAGGTATTCCAGTCTTCCTTACCGCTCAGTGCGAAATGCATGGCGTGGCTATGCAGATACGCTGCATAGACACCCCCATCACTAGGTCTTATTATCCGGGGAGGGCTTATATTTAACAAATGCATAGAAATCCTGCTAGGACTTAGTTTTTGTGTAGGTCTTATTTTCAGGGAAACATGGTAGGACTAAAGTATTGCCAGAAACACAAAATACTGGTGAATCTGTTCTCAAGATAGAGGAGTTGAAGAATAGAATTGACTCATGATGAGATAAAAATAAAGAAACTGGGAGGAGTGGGCTAAAGAGAAGCATGGCCAGACAGGCTTCAGGTCCCTGTGCCCCAAAGCCAGTGACTGTAGAGCTGCCCCTAGTCCCGCTGCTCCTGAGAACTGGGCCATCAAGTGTTAGAGCTGGGCAATTCTGAGCATAAACCTAGGGAAGCCAGGGCTCCTTCTGATTCTTCTGCATTTTTATCCCCATTGCCTGTTCTCCTGCTACTCTTACTTAGGAAAGGACTAACCCAGCCTTTTTTCTAGCTTGATCACCTTTAGTTATAAAATCAGCATGGAACTCGGTAAAATAAACATTTGGTGCAATGTTAAGAAGTAAATAATAGAACTTGTTATGTGTGCTCTTTTAAAATACAATAAATATTTTCATTTGGAGCTTGGAAACTATTACCAAAAATTGTTATGGTTCTTGGTGAAAAGCAGTGTTGACAGAAATGAAGCCAAATTAAAGAGGTTTATTCTGAGCCAAATTTGAGGACCATGACCCATAGTCACATCCCAGAAGCCTTGAACAAGTAGACTCTTGGAGGTGGTGTGACAGTTTTGTTTTATACATTTCAGGGAGACAGGGATTACAGGTGAAGTCATAAATCACTATGTGGAAGGTGTACATTGGTTTGGCCTGAAAAGGTGAGATATATCAAAGCCAGGGGCTTACAGTTTACAGGTAGATTTAAAGATTCTTTAGCTGACAATTGGCTGAAAGAGTTAGGTTCTGTTTAATGGACCAGGAGTCAGCAAAAAGTAATGCTGAATTAAGATGGGGGTCTGGTTATTAGAGACAAACTACTGGACACACACCCATGGCGTTGTTATATATGGAGGACCTGAGGCGTGTCTTGCATAGCCTTAGGCCTGTAAATGGGTCACAGAGGGCATCTCTAAGAAGGGAGGGGTACTTGATGAGGAATGTCTTATCTACTTCTCATGGCTAGCAACTTAGTTTCGCCTTTTGGCCAAGAGGAGGTCCAGTCAACCAGCTGCTACAGGGAACCTTAAGATTTTATTTTAGTTTACGGCAGTTTTGATACACAATTTTATGAAAGAAGACAGCACTCTTTCCTGCCAGGAATTAAAAGCATTTCTAGGCTCTGCGTCTGTGGCGCCTGTAGCTCAAGCAGCTAAGATGCCAGCCACATACACCAGAGCTGGCGGGTTCAAATCCAGCCTGGGCCTGCCAAACAGTAACAACTACAACCAAAAAACAGCTGGGCGTTGTGGAGGGTGCCTATAGTCCCAGCTACTAGGGAGGTTGAGGCAAGAGAATCGCTTAAGTCTAGAAGCTGGAGGTTGCTGTGAACTACAGCACTCTATCCAGTGCGACAGCTTGAGACTTTGTCTCAAAAAAATAAGAGCATTTCTAATATGGTGACTTCTTCAAGAGGTAGAGATGAGGAATGTGATAGTCCCAGGCTAGAATGCCAAATGTCCTGCTGGGCTCTTTTTCCTTTTGTCATTTAGCCCTCCTCCTGGAATAGCCCAAGCCCCAGTTGTCTTCTGATCCTCACTCCAGCTGTTTTTAAGCTGTGCAGAGATCACAGGGCCTGATAGATACTGAACTTCTCTTTTTTATTCTCTTGACACTCCAGGTTTCCTCCATCTGGTGAGTGTTAAACTGGTTTCTGCAGTGACTCCATGACTGTCATGTATGATACGCTCCCATGGTTATGTCAAGATGATGTTCCTAATGTCACGTCCACGTAGTCATCACTAGTCAGTTAACTGGTTAGATACTAGCTGTGATTCACATACGATTGCCTTTCTGTCAGATACGAACTTTGTTAAAACTTTAAGTTTCATAGAAGAAAGTCACTTTCTCAATTAGATTATCTCAGTATAGGGGAATTTTATCTGTAAGTGAGGCAGATTAAAGTAACCTGAATGCTCAGAGTTTGCCCAGCAGAAATGAGCCATATCACTGTGTACGAGTTAGAGCATGTTTTTCCAAATTTGCTCCATTTCCTCAATCCAATGAAATGTTATTTTTCCCCCCAGGTCTATCTATTTTGAAATTTATATTGATGCCTTTGAGATTTGTTTCTTAGTTTATAATAATACTTTTCATGTGGATTAAGTTTAATTCTGAGAGACTAATCTTTCTTAGGGCTGTTAAGGTTGATGTTAACTTTGAAATCTATAGGTGATAATATGCCTTTATCTCTAAACAAGGTCATGATATCTTTAGTCTCTCTTAATCTTTTAGAGATACTGTGTTTCCTTCCAAGGAGTATGTCAGTAAGTTTGTGTTGCTGTAAGGTTTTCTGCTAAATTCAAGAAACTATCAACTTGATGAATAAAAAGGAATTTACTCTTCAGAACTTTAGTGTATATTATTTTGCTTAAAAAAAAACCCTAATGTATTTGCTTTCTATGAGTTGGCTGGGCAGTTCTGTAGGGCTCTCCTGAACTTCCTTGGGTATTGAGTTTAAAATGGCCTGATTCAACTCTGATAATTGGTGGTGGCTATTAGCTGGGATGCCTTCGTTTTTCTCTGTATATAGTATGATAGTCTCAGGGCAGGACTCCAGGATGACTAAATCTGATGCAAAAGCACATACTAAACCTCT